ATGCTCTACTACACGGCCTTGTCAGTCGAGTGGTACCAGAAGACAAATTGGAGGAGACAGTAAGTCAGCTTACAGATTGAACTTTTTGCTTTGATTAAAGATAATATTTTTTTAAGTAGAAGTGTGGTAAATATAAACACAGTGCAATGTAAAACGATGATCACTTATGATACTGTTGTAGTACAGGTTTCTATCAATGCATAAGAAATAATATTAATGTCTAGGGGCAGACATCATCTTTAAAGTATATTTGTTTATTTCCTTCACAGACAATGGGGATAGCCAATCGTATATGTGAGACCAGTAAAAGTGTAGTGGCTCTAGGGAAGGCGACATTCTACACTCAGATGAACCTAGAGAGGAAAGAGGCATATACGTAAGTTTTTTTATAGCATATTTGTATTATGTACCAGGGCTAGAAAAAACATTTTCAGCTACTCGTTTGTCGGGCAAGAGAAACTTGAAATTCACATGCCCGAATCCAACATTCACTCACCCGAAGAAAACAGGCAACAAAACATAATTTAAGGAACACAAATTTTATGATCATTTTCTGTATTAAATGTTTGAACTCAACACTTGCTTTTATTGTTTTACTCATATTTAATTCACTGTTAACTCTTTCACTTGTCTAGACGAGTGGATGAGTGGATTTTTCTAACCCTGTGTACCAAAACCTGTCTATAAGGGCCACAGAAGAGAATACTTGCTTTTCTGGACATGTAATCTATAAAGAGTTGTAATTACGTTATGTTGTATTATTTGAACCAGAAATAAGTGGTCGTTATAGACAGGTGTTTGATATATCCAGATGACCATTATAACAGGATTAACTGTAAATGGTCAGATATTCTCTTCCCCTTAACAGGTGTACTTATGCTTTAACTGTGGTGAGATTTCCTTGTCATATCATAGATGGAAATATAGAATTTCCTCTGTCAGGACACTAGTATGACATCACAAGAACAATCCAATGACGTCATGTCACTGATACATTAACGTCACATCAACATTTCAATGATTTCATGTGAGTGACATGTTAACCTCACACCAACAATGCCAAGCCTTGAGATAACAGCAACTCTTGATGATGATATAGGGTGACTCAATATCAGTTTTTTTTGGGTATATTTTGTATAAGTTGGCAATTACTCTGCTAGCCTTGTATTTGCCCACATTATTATCTTTCCCGTGGGTTAAGATCAGTCTTTCCCGTGGGTTGAGATCAGTCTATCTCACACTCAACAGGGTGAAAGATTGTACAAACTATTATACTCATACTAACTATTATACTCAACTTGATGCTTGGTATTTGGTTGTGAATTTCAGCTAGTTCTGTTAGACAAAAAAATGGCAGGCAGGTGGCATTCTTGGATTCTTTCAGTTACAGTTGTTATTGCAGTTTCTTAAACTTCATGTGTAGGTTCCCCTTTATCACTACTTGTGCTCTTTTGTTGGATTTTGTGACTGACAAGAAGAACAAAATAGCTGAGAGGTTGAGAGGAAACTATCTTAGAATTGCCAATCAAAGATTACTGTCGGTAATTCCTAAAACAAAGCAAGAACAGAGGAAATAATAGAATAGGAGGGGAAAGATCCTACATTTAAAGAAGAAATAAATATCCAACAAAGGTTGGCATTAGAATCCGTCAGGGATCTTAAAATTTTTATAGCTTCCATCTCTGTTAAGAAACTTTTTTTTTATCAAAAATTTATTATTGATTTTCCATACTTACAGATTGACGTCTCAGGTCATGGTTGAGAATCTGTCGCTAGGCGACGGGCAGGAGGGAATCCGAGCCTTCATAGAGAAACGGAAACCATCTTGGAGTCATGATGCGAAAAAGGTTCATTAGTTATTGAACACCACGTGGTCTGATAATTATCGAGGTCGTGTGTCATGTGCCATAATTATCCTGCTGTAAGCTGGTCTGGTAAGAAACCCATCAATCATTTGTAATACAGTAGAATGATAAATATCAACATATGAAATTCTGTTTTATTCCCACTTTCTATCTTTGAGTCTAAGATAATGTTTTATCTCCCTGAGTTAATTGTAGCGTAAAGTGACATCATATTAAAAACATTGATTTTGATAATGATTGCTGATATTTCATTAACATTTCGATGCTGTCCCCATATTCACAGTCAGTTTCCAGCGTCCAGCTTGACCATTTTTTTTGGTTCAAGAACCCTCTATCAAAATCAGTGCTGATAACGTCTTGCAATAGTTTTGAAAACGAGGTGGTTCATTTTGTAAACTCGAACACATGATAGCGGGTTTGACGGTAACGACAATGTCAGTAAATCCCATTTTTCAGCACTGGATATTGTTATGGGCGTTGTTATTTGATATATTTTTAGTTATTTCAGAATTATGAATGCAGTAACATTAACCGTAAACTGATTCAGAAGGGAAGCCATTTCTGTTTACGGATGACAGTGTTTCGTGCGCATGCGTTATCATATGGTGCACACATTTATAGGTCTTAATACTTGATCAAGAGATAAGGATTTTTTTTTATAATTATTAATTAACATTTTTATGTGCACATTTCATTAAAACCACCTGTCATTGTTCATAACTTGATGTATATATGCAATAATAAAAAAACAATCAGTGAAAAGGTATATTTATGGTGATTTAGCACTAATTATGGTAAATATTGTAACATCAGTCCAAATTCATCAGAGATCATTTACTAAGAAACTTTAAAGTTATTCTAAATACTGAAATAAAATGCTGTATATGCATAAATCCTAAAATGTAATACACGGGTACAGACTACTAATGAGATATAACAATTCTCAGGATCTTGAAAACAGAAATTTGTTCATACACAGGAGTTTTCTTTGGAATATAATAAGACATTAAATGAATGGTAGGATCCTTTATTTTCTCACAACTTTTCTCTTCTCCATGAAAATTATTCAGAAATTTGTACTTTCCCTTAATTAATATTAATTATGCTTTCCATTTACACTACAGAAGTGAATTTTTATATCGGAATAAATCTGACCAACAATGAATACAACTCCATGGAACACATTGATAGAATATACAGGAGCCCATGTTTTAAACAAAAATTTGTGGCCTTGAGTAGCTTTTTGTTCATGACTGCATATAGAAAATTTGAGTAAGCATACAATGGGATGTTAAACGTTCATAGCCGCTATGTAAGGGTATATGTGTAATTTTTTGCAAATTACAAATTGTTTTGCAATTAAGAATTCCCTTCGTTTTAAAGGCGGTTTTTATTTTTTTCTATAAACAATGTGTCATTGGATTTTATGTTAATGTGTATATAATATACATACATGTACTGAACAGCTGTTTAAATTCGCAGGGCTAATATTTGGCAGAATTTTCATGGTTTGGATTTGTTTTAAATTTGTATTTAATTTCATGCAAGTTTTGTGAACTGGTGTTTTTCATGTATACAGATAAAACAGTTATTTTTTACGTTTTTTCAGTGTAAAAATTGTTTGCTGGGTATTTGATTTGATATTATCTTCATTGATGGCAAAAAAAGCCAGATTAAATCCCCTACAAATATTATCAACTATACAGTATTTTCTTTTATTTCACAGAAAGGAACACCTTAGCATATTAACTAACTTTGACAGTGAAAAATCTCATGTACATCTTTTGTCTTATTTGAATGACTTGGGGTCAAAATTATACAAAATCATATCAAAAGTAGTCAATTTAGAAGACAAGAAATGCTGATATGTCAGATTAATATTAAACTACATGTTTCTTCCCATATAATTTCTATCCGAGTTCCTACATGTTTGTTCCTGGCATCACCAAGTGGTTCTCAAAGGAAGAAAATACTGTTTATATACATACTGATATATAACAAATATTAGTATCATGATTTAAAGGTGCTTTTCACATATGCCTGTCACTTTTCAATTCCAAAAATCTAAATATTTTACATGTCTGATGTTGTTAATTAATTAAAAGGAAACTGTTTAGAAATAAAACTCCAATTGCCAGTGTATCAATATGTTTGCTAGTAGTTTAGGTTTCCAAGGATTATTTCAAGAGTAGATGAAACCAGCTTCCTGCCACAGCAGCAGAAATTATATATTGATAATGAAATTAAGTTTAATTACAAACTTTGCATTGATAAAGTTATTTTTGTTTTACTGATGGAAATGCAATTATCTGTGATAAATAAAATATTAATGCAAATTTAGAATGAATGTGTTTGTGAATGTTTTTGGCTACTCTAATATGTTGTGTTATAAATATCCTATTTGTAATCTCTTATGAGGTGACCCCTGATTCAACCTCCATGTTCACACATGGCCCATAAAGGAACTACCAAAATGACCCTCAACATACATGTCACGTTTTACTTCATAACAGGTATGGCATAGTTCTGAGTAAGTACATTTATACTTAAGTTCTTTTCAAATCATCTGATGTTTGAGAATGAAAAAAGTGATTAAACCAATTATATGCAAATCCATGGAGAATTAACATTTCAATCAATCAATGTTTATTTTTCTTAATACCTTCCTGATTTACTTAGATTGGATTTTCGTCCTTTGAACAGCTAGGGTCACTTTGAGGTGGTCTCTCCTTGTAGCAGTTGGTGACTACCTAATTGAACATAATTAGGTACACGACATGTGACTTAGAGCAACTAAGGTAAAGTGTCTTGCCCAATAGTAAAATGACGAGAGCGCTGACTGCTCCGTTTCTCAACTTTCTGAGAAAGAGACTCCTCACCTTGGATTACGTATAAGCCAACACTTTAATCAGCTTAGTTTCTAGGTTTTAGCACTTTAAACCAAGATTAGATAGCTTCGTCTCAGCTGAGGTTACTTTGACTCAGCTGAGGTAATCTTGACTAAGTCGAGATAATTTCGACTCATCTGAGGTAACTTCGACTCAGCTGAGGAAACTTCGACACTTCTGAGGTAACTTCGACTCAGCATAGGTAATTTCGACTTAGGGAAGATAACGTCGAATTTGTGAAGATAACCTTGACTTAGCCTTAGAAAGCGTGCTTTAAATTTGGTTCGTATAAAGAATAGGTAAAAAAAATTGTCCAAGCAACGTCCTCTCTGAAGCATGCATATGTTGAATTATAATTTCATATTTCTTCAATTGTGGTGCAAAGGCATCGCCCCTTCCAGATTTTGGCTTTTCTTTCGAAATTTTATCAATTTGACTCGGTCGTCTCACAGTTTCTAAAATCAAAGCTTTTGTATCACGAGTTCTAAAAGGACGAAACAGCTGTATAATGCAGTTGTATTCATTTTCTAGCTTTTCAACATGCACGGACAAAGAATAGATATAATTCTAGATTAATATTGAAATCTCTTCCTTTGTATGATATATAGACATTTGATATTGCAGACGGTTGACATTGATGATAAGCTTTTTAGTCCATAAGGTTTGTCGTGACTAGCTACATGCAACGTTTTAATTCCTACATAGATATTCTACGCTCTTGTGTAAATATATGATATTTGAAAATCACGAAAGTTCATTAATATTTTTGCTAGTGCACTTCCTATTTAGATTTTAACATTTATTTTTCGATCATATTACGGTTTTCCTCTTTCACGCCTCTTAACATTACTGACGAGTCATAGAAGGAGGAAACGACTGTATAATGCAGTTTATACGAGAAATGTTTCTTGACAAGCCACAGGTGCGCAGCGCGAAGAAACATGTGGAAATCTCACCTCATGAGATGAAATATAACCGTTAATATTCAAGAAACAATTAATAGTCTATTTATATCATTATTTTAGGTTTTCATTGATGTCAGTTCAGCTCTTTTCCATTATATTTTGCCGTATGTTACAGTTTCATATCTAAGGCACAGGTCTTCCAATAACTAGAGAGTGAATACATACACAGAAGTTCCAGTAAAGCTACCGAGTTTCATACTACATGTATTTAAAGTGCTCTCCCTGCTACAGTTGTCGTTACTTCGGTCTGCAAAACGCGATTAGCAAAAATGTTTCTTTTTCTGTATTGTAAAAGGGAGATACTATCTTTGTATTCTTAAGTGATATTTTGACTGCAAGTTCCATTATCAGGTTGTTAAATACTGAATGAAAATATCAAAACGTTTAATTTTCGCACTTTGAAAACATCACTGGCATTTTCCATCGTAAAACCTATTATTTCAATCCGTAAAATATAATGGAATTCAATAAATGGATCTACTATATATACATGTAATTTGTAGGGAAAGACACTGTTTGCTTGTGTATCTTTTGTATAATCTTTGACAATGGTAAATGCATTCTATAAAATACATGTAACGACTTGAACATTCCATAATTTTCATTGTTCTTTTTCCATGTTCACCATCGATCGGAAACGCCACGTCCAGATCCCAAACCCAGTGGCAGCATATTAGATGACCCAGCAATATTGTGTTAAGATTTCGTCCCCTTGATTCTGCTTTATCATAGGTTGCGTAAGATTATAAGATGTTTAAGGATTAAACACCATTGAAATGGTAGTTACAAAACAATGTCAAGATGTTGTAAGGATTTTAATCCTTAGATTACCAGTGTTAAAACACTCACACAAACAAATACTGCGTGCACGTGTTTATTTGAGAATGCTATATAATAGTTAGAAATGTGTAAAACACAGGACGAAAAACACATAGAGAATAAAATCCGGATAAATATAATTAAATTTGAAAATTGATAACGCGAAACGAAAACTTTACATCAGGCGCATGATGTAAACAAGTATGGTAGTGAGCGTCAGGTGTTTTCATCAAAGGATTGGAACTTATGCTGAAAATAAACAAGATGTGTTAAAAAGCCGCGGGCATTAATTTCTTTACGAGGTTATATAAAACCAAGACTTTACTTCTACAACTGATTATAATGCCAGGTAGTAATTTGTTTACTTGCTGTTTGCCTTATACTAATTTTATATATTAATTATACTTACGACAGTTTCCACTCTGTATTATACTTATTTCATATATTGATTATACTTACGACAGTCTCCACTCTGTATTATACTAATTTTATATATTAATTATACTTACGACAGTCTCCACTCTGTATTATACTAATTTTATATATCAATTATACTTACGACAGTCTCCACTCTGTATTATACTATATTTCATATATCGATTATACTTATATATCGACAGTCTCCACTCTATTATACTAATTTTATATATTAATTATACTTACGACAGTCTCCACTCTGTATTATACTAATTTTATATATTAATTATACTTACGACAGTCTCCACTCTGTATTATACTAATTTTATATATTAATTATACTTACGACAGTCTCCACTCTGTATTATACTAATTTCATATATCGATTATACTTACGACAGTCTCCACTCTATTATACTAATTTTATATATTAATTATACTTACGACAGTCTCCACTCTGTATTATACTAATTTTATATATTGATTATACTTACGACAGTTTCCACTCTGTATTCGAACTTTGTCGATGGCAATGTCGCCATCGTCAGATACCCATCTCCATCCGGCAAAGTACATCTGTTGTAAAAACACCAGTAAATCACTGTTCTTTCTTTTTGTCATTTAGGGTTATCTGTTTTTATGAGTAGGTAATGAATGTTACCTCATTAGTTTGTGTGTGAAATTGTCGTTTCTTATGACGTTTCTCACACAAACAAAAGACGTTAAATTAGTTCATGTACCTGCACACAAGATCATATTACAAAACGACGGAATTTATATTTTAAACCCCCTAATTTCACCACAATTCATTTCATACTGCAATAATCACTATAAAAGAGTTCCTTGATAAGACTGATATTCAATGGTTTGAGCAATGAACCCGTTGCCTTATATATAAGATCAATAACATTTGTTTTGTTCTTGGAGCCAAGGTAACAATTAGTCAATTATGGTTTAATTAGAGGAGGAGACGGAACCAATATCATTGTTTACACCAAAAAAGCAGAAAATTGTCTTTGAGTGCATTTTCTAACGTTTTTAGAACAAACACTATATTTGCTGCTTTCGTCTTTGTAATTAATTGTCATAAGCACAAAAGCTAGCTACACATATTCCAAAACCGTCTGCTGATAAAATACGGTGTGTCTTTGATAAAGATTGTTCAGTATTATACATGGTATCGATTTTAAGGTATAAATTTCATCTATAAATTGGTCATTACAGTTTTAAGCTCACCTGGACCAATGAGCTAAAGCCATAATGCGCCGTCCATCGTTCGTCATATGTCATTTTTTCGCGTCAGCAACGACTGAACGAAATTTGCTAAATAGCAATGAAACTTCTTTAAATTCTTTTTTGTGGGAAAGCTTTAATTCTGTTTCAATTTGATCTTAGGCGTGCATGAATGAAAGGAACCCTATTTCGTATAGATCAGGAGTCTGTCCCCCACTTCCCCGAAACAAACGGTGTGGAAAGGTCATAAAACCCTTCCACCGTAAATGAATATTGTCCAAGTGTGGTCTAAAGTATTCCTAGAAGAACGGGACTCAATTTTGTATAATCGATGGATATTCCTTCAGTAGGGAAATTATTTTAGAAATTTGTCCCTATTTTAGAACTTCTTTGTTAAATGACTGAAAAGTTGAAGTAACCAGGTGAGCGACACAGGCCCCATGTGGTTCCTGTTCATTAGAATTACTCTGTAAGTCTAACTTTTATGATTATATTCCAAAATTCATTGGTACTTTGCTATATCAAGTTCCTGTACACAAATAGGAGCATAAGTACATATTTAATTTAGATATACTGTCCATATATAATTTAGATAAACTGAATGTATACAATCAAACATCCTCAATACTCCAGAGGTCCTAAAACATGCCATGGCAAAACTGAAGGCACAAACCAAGTAAATTAATTGGTTCTAGGAGAAAAAAACTGACTCATCACAGGCTGATACGCTCTTTTTGAAGATTACAAAAGAATGACATCCAACTTCAAAGTCAATACAATATACTGTTATGTGACCTCGAGATTCGTTTGATGTACATCAATGAATTTCGTCGATTATAGAAAACGAATTTTGTTTGGTAAATCACACAGATATATATAAAAAACCAATTACAGCCGCCATGAGTGTAGTTATAGTGTTTATTACCGTTGTATAGTCAGATGGTATGCTGACTGATGCGCTCTGCCAAACGTCGCCCTGGTCACCAAATTTCTCCCACAGGAGT